CTTGGTTCCTGTATCCTCTGGAAACTTCAGTCTCTGATGGGTTTACTCTGTCACCAAAGGAGGGCATAGGAGAATGATCCTTTGTTCAGCAGCTCCTTCACATACCTTTAAAGATCGTTCATATTCCTGACCTGTTCTCCCCCTCCAATGTCGTCCTTCCTGATAAAATGGGAATTTCATATTTGACAACCTACCCCCACCTACACCCTCAGTATCAGCTTTCCTGACAGGCACACAGGCTGACAATGAAAAGTGAATGAAGGAATGAAAAGCACTGTGCTTTTGTAACTGCTTACTTATGTACCCAGAACCATGCTTGGCAACATGCTGGTTTGGGGGTGATGAGAATGTCAAGAGTAAAGGATGACCCTTATGTTGTGGGCCTGGGTGAGTGAGAGGATGGTTGTACCTTCAGCAGGTACAAGGAATTTTGAAAGGAAAGAATGTTGAGAGGAGAGAGATATAAAGAGTTCTGTTCTGGATATGTTGAATTTAAGATGCCTACAGGACATCCAGTTGCATACGTCCAATGGGCAAGTTGTAGATTCAAGACTGGAGGCCAGCAGAGAGGTTTGGATTGGACAAGAAGATGTGAGAATCATCTGAATAGAGATGATCATTGACTCCATGGGAACTGATGAGAGCACCAAGTGAAATAGTATTGAGATAGAAGACAAGGCAGCTCAGGATGAAGCCCAGTGGGGCACTCATGGGTACCAGGCATGACCTGGGTGAAGATCCAGCTAACGATACTGAGATGGCATGGCCATGGTGTGGTGCTCTGGGGCAGGTGCTGTCCTTTACCTTTCTTTGTATTTCCAGTTCTTACTACAGTGCCTGGCACACAATAGGCACTTATTAAATGTTTGTTGACTGATTAAAAGGAGATCCAGGAAGAAATAATGTCACAAAAACTCAGAGGGACAGAAGTATCAAGAGAAGGGTGAACAACAGTGTCAAGGGCTGGAAAGTGATCTGGAGAGGTGAGGACTGAGACAAGGTCATTGGATTTGACATCTAAGAGATGGTTAGCAACATCAGTGAGACAAGTTTCAGTTGAATGATAAGGGCAGAAGGTCAACTGTAAAGAGTTAAGAAGAGAGAGGAAAGCAAATAGAGGTGACTATTGTAAATGGCATGTTGAAGGAGTTTACCCACAAAAGGGAGGTGATATATGGGATGATAATTAGAGAGGATGGATGGATCCAGGGAGAGACTTTTAAGGGATGGGGGAGACATAGACATGTTTGTGGGCAGAGGGGGAAGCATCCAGTACACAGGGAGATATTGAAGTGAGACAATGGGGATGATAGACGCAGTCTGCTGGAGGAAATGGGCTGGAAGGGGCCCCCTTGTGCAGGTAGAGAGGGCTTTGGCTCAATAAGGAGTAAGCATATCTCTGTGTGAGACAGGGCTGGGGGAGGAGACAGGGGCACAAGGCATCTGAGTGATGTGAGAGGAAGTGGAGGGGTGAAGAAGGAGCTCTAGGGGAATGACCTCAATATTTTCAGTAAGATATGAGGCAAGGTTCTCAGCTGAGAGGGTGGGTGGGTGTGAGAAGGAGACATTGGAGGTCTGAGGAGGGGCAACAATTTTCTGAAGAGCCATGGTAGTGAGTGGGATAGTGAGTTAATTAGAGAAGTATAAAAAGATTGCCTTGGGACTCCAGGAGTAGCTTTGTCAGAGCAGAGATGGAGCAGTTGCCATCTGGGAAATTAGTATACTGATGGGAGTGGGGGAAGGGAAGAGTAGCTTCATAGTCTGTGCTAGGCAGGCATGACCTCACTTGTTTTTCACAACTCCCCCCTGCAAGGATGTATTATTATCCCTATTTTACAGACGGGAAACCTGAGACTCAGACAACTTAGGTGTCAGAGATGGGCTGTGAACCCATGTTTGTTCAGTCTCCAAGTTGGTCATCCTGCCTGTCTGTTCAACCACAATGTTTTCCTTTTTGTAAATCAAACAATCAAATCATTAAATACTTACAGAAATTAATTCAGTCCATTCACTGGAAGGTCAAATGCTGAAGCTTAAAGACTGTGGCCCCACCAAGAGAAAATGGGATGCGTTGGAAAAGACCCTAATAATGGGAAACATAGAAGGCAAAAGGAAAAGGAAATGGTAGAGGATAATACGGATAAATAGTGTCATACAAACAATGAACATGAACTAGGACAGACTTCAGGAGACAGTGGAAGAAAGAAGGGCCTAGCATGTTGTGGTCCAAGGGGTCAAAAAGAGTTACACAAGATTGAATGACTGAACAACAACAATGAAGGAGAATGGCTATGAGGAGGAGTAGGTGAAACCTGGAAAACTGCCATGGAAGAAAAGGAGTTCCTACTTTAGGCTATTACCACATACTAGGGGCAGGTATAGGACTTTCACCACAGAAGGGTTGGAGTTTGGGTAGCTTGATGATTCAACCATCCAATTATCCGGTCCTAACCTCTCTGCATACAGCCAGCCTCACATCTCCAGCTGTCTACTGGGCATCTTCAATTGGATATTCTGTAGATATCTTGAACTCAGCATGTCCAACACTGAACTCATTATCTTACCCCCCCCAAAAAAAAAACCCCATCCCTCCTTCCTACTTAGCCTATAATTGTTAAGGGCAGCCCAGTATTGTCAACATCACCCAGACCACCCAGGCTTGCAAGCTAGGGATCATCCTAGATGTCTGACACTCTCTCACCTCCTCATATCCAATCTGTTGCCAAGATCTGTCCATTTCCCCTTCCTAATGTCTTCTGAATGCCCAGTTCTCTCATCTGGCACTGACAACACCCTGGTGTATTAAATTTAATTAAAATTAATACTTTAATTCACTACTGTTTGGAGAAATGCAAATTTAAACAATTCTGAGGTACTACCTCATAGCTATTAGATTGGCTAAGAGGACAGAAAAGGAACAGGATAGCTATTGGAGGGAATGTGGGGAAAATGAGACATTAATGCACTGCTGGTGGAGTTGTGAACAGATTCAAACATTCTGTAGAGCAATTTTGAACTATGTCCAAAGGGATATAACACTATCCTTACCCTTTGACCTAGCAATCCCAGTACTACGTATAAATCCCAAAAGAAATAAAAACCAAAAAGGAAAAGGACCTATATGTACAAATACATATATATATATATGTATACACACACACACACACACACATATATATATATATATATATATGTATATGAAAATATGTATAGCAGCACTTTTCTCAGGGCAAAAATTGGAAATTGAGGAGATGCCCATCAATTGGGGAATGGCTGAACAAGTTGCGATATGTGATTAAGATGGAATACTATTGTACTATAAGGAATAATAGGGGCAGCTAGGCGGCACAGTGGATAGAACTCCAGCCCTGGACTCAGGAGGACCTGAGTTCAAATCTGCCCTCAGGTACTTGACACTTCCTAGCTGTGTGACCTGGGCAAGTCACTGAACCCCAATTTCCTCAGCAAGAAACAAAAAATGATGAGCAGGATCCTCTCAGAAAAGCCTGGAGATACATACATGAGCTGATGCAAAATGAAATGGACTATGCACAAAGTAACAGCAACAGTGTAAGATGATCAGCTGTGAATGACTTAGGTATTCTCAACAATCCAACGATCCAAGACAACCCTGAAAGACTTATGCTGAAAAATGCTATCCATTCCCACAGAAAGAACTGATGGTGCCTAAATACAGACTGAAGCATACTTTTTAAACTTTCTTTATTTTTCTTGAGTTTTTTCTTTTTGTCTATGTTTTCTTTCACAACATGACTATTATGGATATGTTTTGCATGACTACACATGTATAGCCTCTATCAAATTTGCTTGCCTTCTCAATGAGGAGGTGTGGGGAGGGTGGAAGGGAGAATTTGGAACTAGAAGTCTCAAAAAGGAATGTTAAGAATTGTTTTTATATGTAACTAGGAAGGGCAGCTAGGTGGTGCAGTGGATAGAGCACCGGCCCTGAAGTCAGGAGGACCTGACTTCAAATCTGGCCTCAGACCAAACAGTTGACACTTACTAGCTGTGTGACCCTGGGAAAGTCACTTAACCCCAACTGCCTAAGAAAACCCCTAAAAAAACAAAAAAAACCCCAAAATATATATTTATATGTAACTAGGAAAAAAGAAAATACTAAACAAAAAAGGAAATAAGTTATGCTGTTTTACTCTTTGAAATTTATGGAACTGTCAAAGGTAGCTAAACAAGTCTTAGGGATTGTATTATTTTTCAATATTAGATTATCAATAAAATATTTGATTTAAGAAAAGACCAGAGCTGAATAGGAAATTTAACTTTCAAATACAATACTAGAGAGAAGCATAAATAGGGAAATCATAAGGGACTTAATAAGGTTAAATAGGTTACCTTCCTGCATTGGAAGATGACACTTGTAACTCATAAGAAATTTCTCATCATTAGGGCAGTTAGGAGTATATATAGACCAAAGGCAGAGGTGTGAGTTGAATATGAAGGGATGATATCTCAAAAATAAAATTAAGGTGTGAGGAAGAGGAGTGCACTGGGAGAAAGGGAACGGAAGAGGTAGAATGGGGGTAAAGTATCTGACATAAAATAGGCAAGAAAGAGCTTTAACAGTGAAGGGGAGGAGAGGAGAGGTGGCAGGGGGGAACACTTGTACCTTACTCTTATCAGAATTTCCTCAGAGGGAATGACACACACACAATGGTAACAGAAATCTATTTTATCCAAGAGAAAAGTAGGAGAGGAAAGGAAGAAGAGAAGGAGGTGGTGATAGCAAGGACAGTATGGAGGAGGTGGTAGAAGCAAAACACTTAGGGGAGGGACACGGTGAAAGTGTTGCAGACTTCTGAGTCCACTATGAAGTTATCTGGTGAGGCTGAAAAGAGTGAAAAAGAGAAAGAAGGAAAGAGGGAGAGAGAGAGAGAGAGAGAGAGAGAGAGAGAGAGAGAGAGAGAGAGAGAGAGAGAGAGAGAGAGAGAGAGAGAGAGAGAGAAAAAATGCGGACCAGGGGGTAGCAAGTATAAACAAGCTCCGTTTATTGATCTCAGAGTTAGGGGTTTTACACCCCATTCGTGGGAACAGAATCAAGAATGGAAAAAACCAAGTATCAACAAGTAATTCTTCTCATGGTAACAGTCACTGGGGGCAGTAACCCCCCGGAATCATCTCTTCACTTCCCGATTATCTTTCAAGGTTTATTGACAAATCCTTCGTCCTCTCAAGGGTCAGACAGCACCTGGAAGAGGTCAGAGCCTACGTTCTGACCGAGACGGCTCTTAGATAATGGACAGGAACACGAACATCCCGACATGACCTATATCCTCAAACCCATCAGTGCAAGCCCTCAACAACCTCCCCCCTCTGACTGTTAAACCTGAGAAGATGAAGGGATGAAAAAATCTCACCTAAAGTATGGCGAGTGTATTTTAACAAGCAGGGAAGGAGGAAACACAAAATTAATACAAAACATAGCCAAGGTAAAAAATGTAACAGCAAACTTAATACATTCTTAAGAGGATTAAGTTGATCAATCCAATCTAACAATTTGTTTGCAATATCTTTAGGATCAATACCATCAATACGAGAATCAGCAATTTCATGTCGTATTTTGGATAGCTGATTAATGTCCCAGGTGATATTGACAGAGTGCCATGCACCTTGGAGCTTATTTAATACTTGTTCGATAGTTACATTAGTAAAGTTTGAATACACATATGGAGTTACACAGATAAGCGAATAGCAATAATCACATTTCAAATTGAAGTGCATTTCTAATTGTTGTTATGTTTACCTAATGCAATTACTGATTGTTCTAAAAGATCCAATTCTTGTTGCACCATAGTATCTCTATAAATTTAATATTGTAAAATCGTAGACCAATTGTTAGCATACTGAGCAGTTCAAAATTGGCAGTAATATCATGAAGGGTATTAACATTGAGGGTAATATTAGAATTGTGCCATGCCCTCAATAGGTGGGTAAGTCTCTTGTCTCATGAAGCATCATAGGGAGCAGGGTAATGTAAATATTCTATAATCACATTGCAATAGCAATCTTCTTTTCAAGAGATCTAACTTACAATGCTGATTGCTCTAATAAATTGACTTTATGCAATAACTCAGTTGCTTCTTAAGCTTTAAGTATTAAACACTGGTAAGTAATATACAATTTATGCAGTTTAAAATTTAAATTGAAGCACAATAGATAAAATAGTAGTAGATACAATAAAAGAAGCAACAATGATTGAACCAATAATAAGGAGACCAATAAATTGTTTCGATTGACTTAAGGAGGAAATACTAATTTTAGGAGCACGTTTTCCAGAGTTCTGGAACTGTTCATGTGAAATATTAGTAGGGAAAATAATAAATGATTATTGTTTTACCAAAAGTACAACATAGTCATTATGATCAATACATTGTTTGAGAGTACAACTGACACAAATAACATTCCAATTCAAAAATAGTATTAGATTGAATAAAATTTACATATCCATTAGACAAATAGGTATTAACAAATGATGTAAGAAAGAAAAGACATGATTCAATATTGTTGCTAAATTCTGAAAAACATGTAAGTGTCCTGGATGCTAGAGATCTGAGGGTAATCATAACATCGACTTTGTCCTAGAGATAGGGATCTTCTTGTCTTCTGAATATACAGGTGTTATTAGTATATATATAGTCCCAATTTGTCCATATCTGTGATAGGTTGCAACCAGGGTGGAAAAGGAAAAAGAAGTCCAGTGCTGACCATTCTGTACATTACAAACTTGAGCAGAAAGTAAAGCTACCATTGCTAAAAATACAAGTTCAGGAGTCTTTTATCACTTGACGAGAGGGAGCTTTCACTTGACCTCTATGTAGGAAGGCGACTCGTTTGGCTCCTTCTGCGCTTCCCCTGAATTCTCATACTCTGCATTCGAGCTGTGAGTTGTTACACACGCTCTGACATTTTTCTCCGGTATCCAGGCACATTTCTCAAAGTTTTCTGAAAAATATATAAGCACACCCTCATCCCCTCATTAGTAATAGATCCAGTAATGGATCTGGGCCTCTGGATGTTTTTAGGCTGAGGGGTACTCATCTTTGTTAATATTTAGAAAATTAATAGCCAATTGTCCATAAGGGGCAATAGCCCAGATTCCCCCTTTTGTGTAAAAAAAATTTTTTAATATTTTTGTTTTTAATTATATAAAATATTGGTGATTAGAGAAATGTAATTAAAAGAATAAATAGAAGAAAATGTTTAGTAACATATGTAGGAGTATTACTTATTTTAATTTGTGTAAGTACACTCAATAATTGTGAAGGCTTGTAAAATATGATTGATTACATGTTTTAATTGTTTCACTTGTTTGAAAAGTGGCAAAAATGAAAGAAGAAAAAATATCAATTATAACATGAATATAAGAAAGCTTTTCTAAAGAAGGCATATAAGTTACATTTGAATGCCAATTATGTTTGGGAGAAAAGCCTTTTGATATATATATAGATATATATATATATATATATATATCAAATAGGCTATTAATTGAAAAACATAATCATTATTCTTTATACAATGTTTGTATTACTGTAGGAGTTTATTTAAAAATAGTCCCAAAATATTTTCTTCTCAATAGTTAAGGTGGTTGTATTGGCAGAATATAATCAATAAAAGGCTCAATAAAAACTTAATAAAAGGTCAAGTGTTAGCAATTAATAACTTGTAAAAGTGTTGGGTAGAAGTGTAATTAAGAATCAATAATGGTATTGCTTTTCAGTAAAAAGTCTGGACAAATTAAAATGTAGTTGTATGTAGGCAATAGAGATAAGGTAATAACATGAACAAAGTGACTTTTGAAGGTGGTATAAAGGGGCATATAATTGTGTATTAGTAATATATTTTAACTTTGCAGTCTCTATATTTTGAGAGACATAAATAGATTATTTGCTAGTAGAAACAATATTGATAAGCTCAGCAAAATCCTGTTATATATTTGTATATAACCCATTGGTGAACGCAGTGGGTGTTGAAGGAATGAGGTTAAATTTAACAATTTTTTGAAATACCCATGAATAATTCGTAAAAAGGGTTAATATTTTGAGAGATGGTTAGTGAATATCAATATTAATATGACCAGAAAAAATAATAACAGCAATTTGGCAATCTTTTAAAGAGGAAACAAGAGAGTCTATTTATTTTTTATTATAAAGTTGATGAATAACTGCAAATACATTTTCTGTAAATTAAAAATTGTAGAGGACACTGGAGTATCAAGATTAGCACCTTGCCCTTCTATAAAGAAATATGGGTGAAATGAGTTTCAGGAATTTTTCTGTTTGACTAATTAAAGCTCATATTTTGTTTTAAGAGTTAATATGCTAGGGGACTTTAAATAAGGATCTTCTCTTAATGTAAAAAAGAAATTACACAAATGTTCTGTAGTAATTTGGAGTGGTGGTCGGAGCCAATTAACATGCTCTAGAAGTTTTTGAAAATCGTTAAAATTAAATGCTGTTAAAGAATTAACAGGTAAATGTACTTTTTGTGGTTTCACTGTTGTTTTGGTGACAATACGACCTAGGTAGGAGAATTAAGGTTTTTCTTAAACTTTTTCCAGGGCTATAATAAGCCCAGAGTATTGTAAAGCTCGTTAAAGCTGCAATAATAAATGTGTGAGTTCACTATAAATGGAACAGCTACAAAATACGTCACCATATATCATTTTTAGCTTTTTGTAACGGAATAGTAAAAAAGCAATCTTTTAAATCAATAATTATCAAAGGCCAGGAAGTCATAAAGCATTGTCAATTTTCCTGACTTCTTTTCAATAACAAAAACAGGTGAATTTTAAGGAACCCAAACAGGTTTATTAGATTACTTTTGTATTTTTGTCAGTTTTATGCATAGAAAAAGCACAAACAGTGGGCAGGAGAAAATAACAGCTCTCATTAAATGTGAAATATTGTGCCCCACAAATTAAGGGGAATTAATTGAGTTTCAACTATGTTTATTCTACTAGTTTAAATTCATCTTTAAAAAATTGATTAGTTGTGATCTATTAGGTAGGCTAAAGCTAACTAATATCTTTTAAAAGTCATTTGAAAATTATTAAAAGTTATTAAGGAATCTTGACTAATTTGTAGTATTTTGGTGGTCTAATTGTAGACTGTGAACCAATATGTCTGAAGTTTAAAGTAAGCAAAGGGTGATTTTTTTTATACCTTTTAAGGAGTAATTATAAAGCTATGAGACTGAAAGGCTTGTTAAAACTTAGGCATTAATAAGGAGAGTTTGGTAGTAGTAGGATAACTGTAAAGTTTATCATCCATATAATAAATCATTTTTGTCTGGGAATATTTTTGCCTAACAGGTATAATAGTTTTTATGAATAAAATTTTGGCCCCTGGTGGGAAACATTCTTTCTTAAAAGAACATAATAAGAAAACTTCAAACACTGATTTAATGGAGACAACTATACCCAAATTCAAACTTAAAACAAAATTAATTATAGTCCTAAGAGTCTTTTACCTCAAAGAGTTAAGTTTCACTAATTATGGCTTAAAGCCAGATACAGTTAATTTTATTTTCATGGAAGTGTAATAAGCAGTAAAGATTTACTAGGACTCACATATACAAGAAATTTTACCTAACATCCTTTCTTTCCCAAATTTAAACTTGTCTTGGTGAAAAAGCCAATTATTAGAAATCATTTATATAAAGCTGCAATTTCTCAGTAAGCTAAATGAATTGTTTAGGAACTCAATAACATAAACAAATTCTTCTCTCAAAGCGGACGACCTTGCTCAGAGAACTGATTACTAAGAGCCTTGGCAAACTTACAAAGTAAAGGGAATTGCCTTGTGCCCCTCCTTTTCACTCATAAGTAATTAAAAAGTCTAAGTTTTCACTTGAAAACAGTGACTTCAAATAACTTAGTTAACAATTTGGTAATTTTCATAAATGATATTTAAATTGTTTTAGTTCTAAGTTGTTTGTTAATCATAGGTAAAGATGGGAATACCTGATTTTCTAATTGACAGTTATAGAACATTATAAAACAAGATTACCTGTACTTGATAAAATAATGTAGCTGGCTTTACACAGCTTTCCCACTATCTTGTAGTTCACATTTCAATAACATTCAAATTATTAAAAACTGCTTGACATAACACATAAAAGTTTACCAATTTGTAATGATAGTAGATTCTTAAAACTTGAAACAAACATATTACTGATTTGAATGAACTAAATTACCTTTTGATTGTGTTCCAATACTTAACCTGTTCTAATTCTCACTCTCTTTCTTCCCCACCCTAACTTGACCAAGGCTGGGATGCGAGAGAAAGGAAGAGAATATTTTTTCAACAACTTATCTTTGTACATTCAAAGCTTTTGGCCAGAGCTTTAGAATGCAAAAAGAAAGAATTTCTTCCTATCAGTTCTCTAAAAGTTTCCAAATCTTTTTGCTCATAAACCCTCTGTTCACACTGTGCAAATAAATTATACCTTCCTTAAGCTTTCAACACATACTCCTCTCATCCCTACATGCTTAAACTTTCTTGTCTTCCTACCACCTAATTATCCCTCTGATGGACTTTGATTAAAGTCCCTTTAAAACTGCACATATCTAACATCTTTCTAATTCTGACCTGACACTTCAAGGATCCTTCTCAACTTGCTTTTTATCAATCACATAACCTAAATAATGAAGTATTTTTTTTCTCCCATTCTCTCCCCCATCCACCCGCTCCCGGGAATGCCGCTGGTATTAGGGAGAGGGAAAGTGAGAAAGTCACTAGCAGCATTTCAGAATCCAGTTGCAGCCCTTGGCTGCCTGACAGAAAAGGATCAGACAAATTATAAACATTAATCACAGATCATTATTCACACAGGCACAGACAAACAGAGAACAAAATGACAGGGAGAATCCAAAAGCGAGAAACTTGTCAGAAATCCCCTACACAAAATAAAATATACTACTTTTTATTTTATTTTATCTTTTCTTTTCATGGTATTCAAAAACCAGGCAAAATCTTTCTTAAGGTTTTGATGTTTATAAGAGGCAAAGCAATCTGTAGTTTTATAGGGATTTCTCATCCTGCCGCTTGAGCCTTTTTTACAGCTCAGGGCATGGAGAGTGTGCAGGGGGCTACAACCAGATGTCCAAAAGTAATTAATAATCCCCTGTCTATTGCTAATGATTTTAATACTTGTAAATAATATTCCTTGCCTTTCTGCTCTGTTGATAAAGCTTGTCCCATTTTTACTGCTTATATTTTCAAAACATACACACTAATCTATTTTTCTAATTCCGCTTAACCTGGTAAAAAAAACTACTTAGAATCTACTACCCTTACCTTGGTTGCCGTCTTTTTTCAAACAGCAGGAATCGCCTCTTTTCCCATCAAGCGATCCTTCTGCTGTCTTATTTCAAACAGCGGGAGTCGCTTACTTACCAGTGACTCCATTTCCCATCTTGTTTCAGGCGGGTGGAGCGCTCCTCATCACAGCTGCTGGCCAGGCAGCCCACCTGGGTCAAGGGCTCCTCACCAGGGAAAGCCACTCTTTCAGGCTCCCAATTGCCCCACGTTGGGGCCACTTGTTGCAGACTTCTGAGTCCACTATGAAGTTATCCAGTGAGGCTGAAAAGAGTGAAAAAGAGAAAGAAGGAAGAGAGAGAGAGAGAGAGAGAGAGAGAGAGAGAGAGAGAGAGAGAGAGAGAGAGAGAGAGAGAGAGAGAGAGAGAAATGCGGACCAGGGGGTAGCAAGTATAAACAAGCTCCGTTTATTGATCTCAGAGTTAGGGGTTTTACACCCCATTCGTGGGAACAGAATCAAGAATGGAAAAAACCAAGTATCAACAAGTAATTCTTCTCATGGTAACAGTCACTGGGGGCAGTAACCCCCCGGAATCATCTCCTCACTTCCCGATTATCTTTCAAAGTTTATTGACAAATCCTTCATCCTCTCAAGGGACAGACAGTGCCTGGAAGAGGTCGCAGAGCCTACGTTCTGACCGAGACGGCTCTTAGATAATGGACAGGAACACGAACATCCCGACATGACCTATATCCTCAAACCCATCAGTGCAAGCCCTCAACATGAAAGGAGAAACAGAATAAAAGAAATAAGGGGGAAATAGGATGGAGAGAAATACAGTTAGCAAACATAAGTGGTAAAAAAAAAATTCTTGAAGCCAAGTTCCACTGATAAAGGCCTTGTTTCTCAATTACATAGACAAGTCAGTCAAATTTATAAAAATAAGAGCCATTCCCCACCAGATCAATGATCAAAAGATATGACCAGTCAGTTTTCAGATGAAGTAATCAAAGCTATCTATAGCCATATGAAAAAATGTTGTAAATCATTACTGATTGGAGACATGCAAATGAAAAAATTGGGAGGTGCTACCTCACACATACTAGGTTGGCTAATAGGACAGAAAATGACAAATTCTGGAGGGGATGTGGGAAATTTGAGACATTAATATTCTGTTGGTGGAGCTGTGAACAGATTTAACCGTTCTATAAAGCAATTTGGAACTTTGTCCAAAGGGCTATAAAACCATGCATACCCTTTGACCTAGCAATACCACTGCTAGATCTTTATTCCAAAAGATATTAAAAAATACTAAATGGACCTCTACATACAAAAATATGTATAGCAGCTCTTTTCTCATGGCAAAGAACTGGAAATTGAGGGGATAAGCATCAATCGGGAATGGATGATTAAGTTGTGGTATGTAAGTGTGATGGAATGCTATAAGAAATGATGATCAGGGTGGTCTCAGAAAATCCTAGAAACATTTACATGAACTAAAGCAAAGCGAAACGAGTAGTTCCAGGTGAACATGGTACACAGTAACAGCTCTATTATAAGATGATCAGCTATGAATGACTTAGCTATTTTCAGCAATATAAAGATCTAAGACAATTCTGAAGGACAAATGATGAAAAATGCTATCCATCCCCACAGAAAAAACTGGTGGTCTCTGAATACAGATCAAAGCATACTTTTTTTTAACTTTATATTTCTTGATGGGTTTTTTTGGTCTATTTTTCTTTTATAACATAACTAATATGGAAATATGTTTTACATGACCAAATATGTACAACTTATATCAAACAGCTTACCTGCTCGATGCGAGGGAGGGGGAGCGGGGTAGAGATTGAGGGAGGAGTAAGGGAGAGAATTTAGAACTCAAAAGTTTAAAATGAATGTGAAAAATTGTTTTTACATATAATTGGGGAAAAATAAAATACTAAATAAATATTAACAACAACAACAACAACAACAACAACAACTTAAGTGGACCATCCCGAAGACCCTTTACATCATGTGAATTTACCCACAGAAGTGGAAAAGGGCAGGAGGGAAGTGGGAAGGGGACTGCACCCCTGTGGAGGAGGGGTTGGCACATGGTTCCAGGACACGTGGAGCCTGGGCACTGAGAAGCAAGAGCAGGAGGAGGAACACGTGGCTGGTGGGGCCAGCCACATGAGGGCCCGGCTGGAACTGAAAGGAAGAACATGCCAGCAGGCAGACACATGAAGGCCGGACACGCAAACATTCAGGAAAGGACAGGCCACACTCGGTGGGGACCAGGGACAAACACATTGTACACCCACATGGATGGACAAAATACCAAAATGTAGGGACCAAACTCTCGGGCAGGTGGGCAGAGTGAAACCAAGGTCTCCTCTCTCAGCAGTGGAGGTCTCAAGCCAAGTCCCCATTCAGCAGTGGTGGTGGCTGTCTCTCTGCAGGTCTGTTCTTCTGCTTTCACTTGGAGGACTTTCTTTTACCTCTTTCTTTGGGGCAGAGGGTTAGTGGTGGTAGGAGGCCACAGAGCACCAAGTTGAGGGACAGGAGGAGAAAGAGATCCCAGTACAGTATGGTAAAGCAGAGGTGTTTTCTTGGAATGCACATTTCTTATAGAATTCCTTACATAAAGTCGAGTTTGTATAATGTGAATTTCCATGAAGCACCATTTGTCTGTACTCCTTTCTATCCTCATTCAGTTTTCTCCAGAGGTCTTTCATATCTAAGTTTTCTAAAATTCTATCACTCGTCTTAACTTCTTTCTTATTCATTTTATGCTTAGGTTTATCTAGCTCTCAGAACAAAAAGTTGAGGTAACCCACTACTATAGTTTTCCCGTCTATTTCTTCCTGTACCTCGTTTAATTTTTCCTTTAAGAATTTGAGTCCTATGCCATTTCCCAAATATGTTTACTATTGATAGTACTTCATTGTCTGTCATTCCTTTGAACAAGAGGTCGTTTCCCTGCTTACCCCCTTTACTAGGTGTATTTGTGCTTTTGCTTTGATCTCAGGATCATGACTGCCACCCCTCCATTTTTTAATTTAGCAGAGGTATAACAGTTTCTCCTCCAGCGCCCTATTTTAACTCTGTGGTTCTCTCTTTGTTTCAAGCATGTTTCTTTTAAAACAAACAAACACACACATTTTTGGATACTGCTTTCTAATCCATTTTGCTATCCCCTTCCATTTTATGCATGAGTTCATCCCATTCACAAAGTGAGGATGAGGAACTATACATTTCCCTCCATCCTATTTTCTTCTGTTTCTCCTTCTCTCTCTCTTTTTATCCTGTCTCTCCTCTCATTTCAGTTTTGCATATAACCACTGTATTCTTTTATCAGCTTGCCCTTTTATCACCAATTTTTCTTTCTCTTTTCCATTCTCTTACTTACCTCTAGAGTAAGATGGATTCTTATGACCAATTGAGTAAGTATATATAGATACAGATACAAAATAGATATAGATATTTTCCTCTTTGTGAACCAATTTAGATGTGACTGAAGTTCAAGCATTGGCCACTCTGCCCTGCGACCTTTCTCCACTCCAGGGTAAAAGCTCTTCCTTCCACACCTATTTTATACGAGATCATTTCCCCCATTCTTTCTCTCCTTCTGCCTTCTCCCAGGGCATCCACATTTCTCACCCATCCCTTTATTTTACATCATCTCAACCTAACTGGTTTCCTATGTAAAAACTTCTTTTTATGCAAAATCCCTCTAACCTATTCTAATAACGACAACATTCTTAAAGATATGTGTATCCTCTTCTCTTATAGAAAAGTAGACAATTTAACCTTATTGAGTCGCTTAGGATTTCTCTTTCATATTTACCTTTTAATGTTTGTCTTGTATTTGAAAGTCACATTTTCTCTTCAGCTCTGGTCTTTTCATCAGGAATGCTTCAAAGGTCTCTACTTCATCATATATCCATTTTTCCCTCCATGTGTTTCTGTAGAGAGTAAGCCTGTGGTCAGTAGAAGGTTCTCAGAGTGTGTGTCTTCAACCCGAAATGTCTTGTCTGCTGAGTGTTCTGAGGCTACGGGTGCTTCCACAGAGAGTAAGCTTGTAGTAACTGGAATGTTCCCAGAGAGAGTGTTTCCTGCCACAAGTATCTTTTCCTCCAGGTGTTGAGAGTAGATGTTTTTTGCCAGAGAGCGATCCTGCAGTAAGTAGAATGTTCCCAGAGAGAGTGTCTCCTGCCACAAATATCTTTTCCTCTGAGTGTTCAGAGAGTAGATGTGTTTCCACAAAACGCAAGCCTGTAGTATCTGGTGTAAGAAAGAGACTGGAAAGCCTCTCTGGGCAAAGAAACCAACCTTGATTATGGGAAACAAAGGTGGGGTCTCAGACCACACTGGGCAGACTATAGACCCCACCAATGCTTCTCTCAAAGGTTAGTTTCTTTACCCAGAAAGCCTACCCAGTTTCTTTCTTACACTGGAATGTTCCCAGAGAGAGTATCTCTCCTGTCACAAGTATCATTCCCTCCAAGTGCTCTGAGACTAGATGTTTTTTGACAGAAAGTGATCCTGCAGTAAGTAGAATGTTCTCAGAGAGAGTGTCTCTCCTGTCACAAGTATCATTCCCTCCACATGCTCAGAGACAGATGTTTTTTGACAGAAAGCGATCCTGCAGTAAGTAGAATGTTCTCAGAGAGAGTGTCTCTCCTGTCACAAGTATCATTCCCTCCACATGCTCAGAGACAGAAGCTTTTTGACAGAAAGCGATCCTGCAGTAAGTAGAATGTTCTCAGAGAGAGTGTCTCTCCTGTCACAAGTATCATTCCCTCCACGTGCTCAGAGACAGATGTTTTTTGACAGAAAGCGATCCTGCAGTAAGTAGAATGTTCTCAGAGAGAGTGTCTCTCCTGTCACAAGTATCATTCCCTCCACGTGCTCAGAGACAGATGTTTTTTGACAGAAAGCGATCCTGCAGTAAGTAGAATGTTCTCAGAGAGAGTGTCTCTCCTGTCACAAGTATCATTCCCTCCACATGCTCAGAGACAGATGTTTTTTGACAGAAAGCGATCCTGCAGTAAGTAGAATGTTCTCAGAGAGAGTGTCTCTCCTGTCACAAGTATCATTCCCTCCACGTGCTCAGAGACAGATGTTTTTTGACAGAAAGCGATCCTGCAGTAAGTAGAATGTTCTCAGAGAGAGTGTCTCTCCTGTCACAAGTATCATTCCCTCCAAGTGCTCAGAGACTAGATGTTTTTTGACAGAAAGTGATCCTGCAGTAAGTAGAATGTTCCCAGAGAGAGTGTCTCTCCTATCACAAGTATCATTCCCTCCACGTGCTCAGAGACAGATGTTTTTTGACAGAAAGTGATCCTG